CCCCCAAAACCCCAAAACCCCGCTAAGAATTTGTTGGTAAGATTCTCATTCATGATAAATTATAATGAAAATTATTATAAAACTGGTTCTTAAGTCTCCAAGTAAGAAAATATCTTATCATTAATCGATATTCCGTTTTAAGATTAAGATTGATAGCTTGATGCTTAATAATCAAGTTTGTTTTAATCAGATTTATCCTTATAATATCTCAAGTCATCTAATTAGCTTTGCTTTTTTTAAGATTTGCTATAAAATTTTGGAATCGATGGGCTTTAATAATGTATAATCGAATAAACTCTAATATTCCTCTTTCCTAGGAATCATCTCATCTCCAGTCAAAAGTATAATTTTAGTACCTTAAAACATGGTCATTTGCTCTTGCATTGATCTCATAATTCTACATGTATCAAATCCATTCATAACTGGCATTTAGTTATCCAAAAATATCAGCTAATAAGGTATGTGATTAAAAGAGCATTAGTTCTAGTTCTATTTAACTTTCTCCAGAGCTTACTGTCCATTATAACATTTATCAACATTCTATACATTAAGCTAAGAAATAAGACCTTTTAAGGCTAAGATATTATAAGGTTCATCATCAACTAGTAAAATTTAGGAGCAAGTGCAAGTCTTATGCCTTTTTTACTATGCTTATTTGAGTTGTGATTCATAAAGATTCTTAAAGGAAACAGCTTTTGGCAACTTCTTAAACTTTTGATGACTGCTTATTCTTCTGAAATTACCTGATAATTAAGGTTCAATACTCTAGACATTATTTTCAAAACCACTTTCTTCATGTAAACAACTGAGTATCATGCCTTATATATTGATCTAATCAAGTAATTTTATTTCTAAGATGAGTTGACCTATTTTTTTAAGATTCAGATTTCTAGTATCAATATTACAGGTTGAATTAATCTTTTCCATATTCACTAACAGATTAACTTTCTCGTTTCTTACTGTAGACATCATTGACTCATCCTCTGTTTTTATATTAACATTCGATTCAATGGCATCTAATTAATAATCAGACTAACTTTTCATATCATTATCTTAGCCTGGAAGAATAACACTGAATATTGAACCTTTATTAACCTAAGATTCAACTAAGATATCTCCACCCAACGCGTTAGCTAGATTTTTGCTGATCGTAAGTCCCAAGCCCACACCCTCTCTATTAAGATGTCTGTTCGACATTATTTTTGTGAATGGAGTGAATAGCTATTTCACTTGAGCTTTATCCATACCGACTCCTGTATCTATAACCTTTAGCTAGACATTATGATTGGAATCAATATCCCCAACAATTTTTACAAAACCTTCATTGGTATACTTTATGGAATTAGAAATTAAGTTGATCATTATCTGAGCAAGTCTGTTTGGATCTGTCTTAATTTTTCTAGGAAATGAGCTAGCAAACTCCACAATAAATTATATTTACTTAACTTCAGCTTTAAGCTAGAGTATTTAATGGCACTAATATATGATCTCTTTGGCATTCACATCTCTGATATTAAGTATTAGTTTTCTTGATTCAAACTACGAGAAATCAAGGATATCATTCACTAAATATAACATCAATTGTGAACTATTTAGTGCAGTCTGAAGGTACTATTGTCTTTGATTGTTAGTGGAAGAATTGCTAGAATGATTGCTATCAGAAGAGGAATCTATTAGTTGCAAAGATTATATAATAGCATTTAAAGGATTTCTGAATTCATGAGCAGCAGAGGCAAAGGCTATAGTTTGTAACTAAGATAAGTTCTTTTACTTTTCAATCTCAAGCCAACTTGATTAATCTCTAATAGTAGTCAATACAAATTTTTAATCACCATCTCCAATTGATTAGGTAAACACCTAAAGTATTTTGTATTTAAGATTTTCTTATTCACTTGAGAATATACCCTCGTCCTTGGGAAGTTTAAAGTAAAGACCATCCAGAGGATTTATTGTAAAGTGTGACTGATCAAAGAATTGTTCATATTTCTGTATATATTCCCACATGTTGTCGAAATAACTAGAATGAGGCTCTTCATCTTCAATAGTTAAGTGAACCATTTGTATTGATTATTATTTAGGTATGCTCTTCTTAAGCCTTTAAATAAGCAGCTCATCAGTATTCAGCAATTTAATTGATCCTGATGGCTAAATTTATGGCGAGTCCAAGAATAAGTCTATTTACTCTAAATCATTATTCTCTTAGTGTGAGCTGTTCATTTGATGAACATTGAGAATATTCTTAATTGATGTATTGTTGTATATAATTTTTTTACTTTGTGTAATTAAAATCCCATCATGGTAAACTTTAATTAAATTGTGGAATAGTTTTAGGACTTAATATTGATTCTTGGTCTATTAGAAAATTTTTCTTTCTCTTTAATGGCTTACTCTTTAGAATATAAAAACAATCACAAGACTTGCAAGGAGATAAAAATTGAATCGAACATATCTAAAATTGTCATTTATCCAAGCGTGAGTTCTCAAAAAACTGTATATCATTATAAAAAGGTAACTCATTAATTGCCATGATTAATTATAACTTATGAATGCTAAAGATGAAAGTACTGAAGGAATAATAATAAATCCATCTACAGTTGCAG